ATATTTTGATAGTTTAATATTTGTAAATACCTAATTGAAATCTTTCAATTATATTTTCTTGAACGAAACAATTTTATTCATCACGACAGTGATTTATTTATTCGAAACTACCCCTATAATCAGATACATACAAAATAGCATAGTATAAATTGACTATAATAAAACAATTTAATATTTTGATAGTTTAATATTTGTAAATACCTAATTGAAATCTTTCAATTATATTTTCTTGAACGAAACAATTTTATTCATCACGACAGTGATTTATTTATTCGAAACTACCCCTATAATCAGATACATACAAAATAGCATAGTATAAATTGACTATAATAAAACAATTTAATATTTTGATAGTTTAATATTTGTAAATCTGTCTCTTATACACATCTAGATGTGTATAAGAGACAGGTATAAATTGACTATAATAAAACAATTTAATATTTTGATAGTTTAATATTTGTAAGAACTTAATTGAAATCTTTCAGTTACATTTTCTTGAACGAAACAGTTTTATTCATCAAGACAGTGAGTTACCTCAAGTTATCTCTATTATAATACTGTGCATTAGATATCAAGCATCGTCTTCCCTCGAAGGACATAACTACTTAGTTGACAAGCAGTAGCGAAGCCGAGAAATGCCACTCTCCGTTAGGTCTTCGGACTTGACGGACCTTCCCTGTGGGAGCTTGCCTGACTTCCAAGGTATCGATTGTACTTTGGGTCTTCAGGAATCCTTTGAGTAGAGCTCCGTAGTCCTCTGCGGATCTTCCAGGGGATGGCTAAGAAAACTTGATCTTCTGAAAATCTGTTGAAAGAGCTCCGCCATGATAGGAATTCCGAAGACTTTCAGAGGATCTACGAATATTATGCAAGACAGTTCGAGCCTTGTACGAACCTTCGAGATCATCGAAGGGACCTTCGGAGACTTCGAAAAATCTTTTGAAACATTAGGGTGATAATAGTGACGTTGACTATACAAAATCCAGTACTTATAATTTAACTATACTGCATGGCGACTTTTTTGACATTGTAAATACGGATGTTACTAGTGATAAGAAAAAAGTTACTGCCTTATGTAGAAAAATGTGAACCAAAAGAAGTTCATATTAAAAGTTATCGGAATTCCAGTTCTAATTTCACGTCTCATCTTAACACTATGCCGCCCGGTGGCACCACGCTGGTGCCATGCAAAAACTATCTGTTGTATGCCAGTGGTACCACTTTGGTGCCATTTTAAAAAACTCAAATAACATTTGAACTATATTTCTTGGATGTTAAAAGGCAGCAAACTAATTATAGCATTGTGCTTATTTACTAAGAATTAAGTACGAAAATTCTTGGATGACATATCTTAATTTTAGGAATTTATATTACCGCCATCTTCGAAATTTTTTTAAAATCTAAAATTTCCAAGCTATTATGCCGGCATCAAACAAAAGAATCATATCTAAGATCTCCGGGCGGCATAGTGTTAAGAGACGCCAAGGATTAAGTGCTATCAAAGAGTAAAAGATTGCAAAGTCAAAATACAATCAGAAAATTCTATTTTACAAAATAGAAAATTCTATTCCATTCTATTTTACAAAATAGAATTTAACAAAATACGATCGGAAAATTCTATTTTATGTGAATAAAGTAAACGTCTCGATCATATTCATCCTAGAAATATTTAATAAATGTATTTCTATATTCAAAAAATGTTAAAAATGACTGATAATTTTGATGTATTATATTTACCTATATCCTGCAAAATGTGCACATCCTTTTGTTCGAAAATTTTGAATGACGAATAAATTAAATAGGTTTCTTATTCGCGACTAACGAATAACTTAATTATCTCCGCGAATAACAAATAGTCAAACGTATCTGTTATTGTATCCATCGTTATTCCGAATAACATTTGCTCAACACTGGCCACAAGGAACAACCGGTGTCATCACCACACTCGATAATCGTCGGCACTCGTCTGAATCACTGTTATAATATCGCCTGACAGACGTGCGGACCTTTCCATCGCATCGATTCACCCTATCTCGCGGCACGCCGGTTCTCCGCGCATTATCAGGAACGAATTTCTCGGAATGTGATTCAGCTTCTATGGAACAGTCATGCGAACGGAATAACGAGCCGCCGGATGTATAATCTTGAATGGCAAATCCCTCGTGGAAAGAATCGTGCGCATCGTATTATCTTTACGAGCGTCTGGATTCGCCGTTGCATTGATCGAAACCGTATCGCGGACCGATCTAAATTTTACCATGATGTCCCAAGCAAATTGTCGGCTTTCAAAACTCGGACGCAGGAAAGAGGTTAACGCAAATGGTAAACAATAACGTCTCGCGTGTAATCAAATTTGATTGTCGCCGTTCCGGTACGGAACTCGTTCTCGGTCCCCTCAGCAGTTATTATTAGATCCGTGCGAAAATAATTGCGGCTTTTCAGATTGTTTAGCGAAATTATTATAGTAACTTCAGGAATCTAGATTAGTATAATATTGAAGGCATAGTGTTTGGTACAGACAATTTAGTGTAAAAACTACTGTATACGTTACATCTACATGTATCTCTATAATTGTAATCCCACAAGTGGGATTAAGCAGTTATTTAGTTAAGCAGATGCATAATTAAATAAATAAATTAAGAAAAAAATAATTGCGAGTTTCGTTGCCGTGGTATCTGCGATGCACCGTTTCAAAGCCGCAGAATTCGTCCAGTAAGATTTTATTTTTATTTCTACCTTGTTCCGCGCTGTTCATTAGACGCCGCAGTGAAAGCAAATTCGTGCGATTCAATCGAATGCTATCGAAACGACGCATGAAACAATGCTCGCTTCATTGAACAATCGTTCGGCCGGAAGAGCAGCGGCGAACATGCAGCTCAAAGTCGATTTTGAAAAAAAACTTCAAGTGGAAGAGGATTTGCTTCTTCCCGACGAGTGTTTTGCAGATGACTCGGCGAAAATTTCATGAAACGTGTTGCAACGCTCGGCTTCGCGCAACACGCGAAATTCTAAATCTGACATTTTTAACACCCGAACGGCAGATTTTTTAACGAAAATATGACCTAGCATGCTATGATCGTTTCCAATTTTATGCAGGGTGACTCATCTAACTCGAGGATCCAAAATATCGAGCTTGTTTTTTATAGTAGGCAAAATAAGCAGGATATTTCAGATGCTCGAGTTAGATAAGACACTCTGCGTGTCAATTTCTTTCAAGATATCTTTAAGATGCTTTCCCAAAAAGAAAGTTTTTCATTAATTGTCGCATACAAATCGATAGAAAACAGCTCCTACCATTAAGTACGCGATTCCCGGGTCTATCGATATCGTTTGCAAGCCTTTATTAGTAGAGTTTTTATTTCCTGTGCAAGTGTGCGCGACGTCGATAAACGTAACACCGTGCGACCGTGTTTATTCGCGAGCCACTCGATCGTGAACTTGTCAATAGCATCAAGAATACCCAGGAAAGGTTTATTTCACGGTTCGGCTGGTGTTCTGGCGATCTGTTCGCCGAGAAAGAAAATGAAACGAAAGCAGAAGATGCGCACGGCTCCAGATACCACGGCTCTCTTCCAGTCTTTCCCTTTCTCGTTTTCTCCCTCCCTCTGGATGTTGTTTTTTCTCGAATTTGGAACGTTTCCAGACTTCGGCTTTTTTTCTGTTTTTTTCCCGTGTCGTGATTTGCGAGAAATCGTTTCGCATGTTTGCCCGGAGAACAGCGATGTTTGCAAACACTCGGATTCGCGATGCGTCCATCGCATCGCCGCGAGTCGTGAAGCTCTGTTCCCAGAAATACGCGAACGATGGATCGATCGCACTATCGTTCGTGGATGTCGCTTTTAATTGCACTGACGATCAAAGAGAAGCAGTCTTTCGCACCCTTGACTGCTACAGATCGCATAATAGGCGTTTGTTTGATCGATTTCGCTGGCCAAAATTATTTTCCTCGCGTAAACTATCTAAAATAATTATTTATGATATTTTCACTTAGAAAAAATAATTCTCAAGAAATATAAACAATTACAAAGAAATGAATCTTATTAATAAAATATTCATAATATTATTTTCATAATTTAGTGGATTCAAAACGTACCTACTTATTTTATTTATGGTATTTCAGTATACTGGGAATAATTTTAAACGTTGATAAACAAATATTATTATTGTTTGCGTTGTGCGAAGGCTATATAATTATTAAAAAAGGTGTAAAAGAAACTGAGAAGAATCAAGTATAAATTAAAGATCATGAAAAACTGTGATGCTATGAAAAAGTATTAAAAACTAATTAAAAGTATTGAAAACTATTGGAAAGTATTGAGAAGTATTAAAAAGTATTAAAAACTATTAAAATGTATTGAGAACTATTAAAAAGCATTAAAAACTATTAAAAAGTATTGATAACTATATTAAAGAAGCATTAAAAACTATTCCAAAGTATTGAGAACTATTATATTAAGAAGTATCAAAAACTATTCCAAAGTATTAAAAATCATTCCAAACTATTGCAAAGTATTGAATCTCAACAATTCGTTTTTTGCTTCGTGAAATAAACAACATCGAATTTTTCTAACGAACGTGTCGAACGAGTCTCATTTGCATACGCATCGTTTAATCAGTCCCGCCATATCAAACGACAATTTACATAACTATAGTTCGGCGTTGCTGCACTAGGAAGCATCGTCGGCCACGTGGAAGAATTCACTTTCTCGCGCATCGATCTGAAAAAAATAAACGGAAAAGCTTGTTTTGTAATGCGTGTATGTGGAAAGGAAGCCGTGGACGTAAAACGGCGAGCACTCGTTAAGTGTCATTGTTCGGGCGTAGATTCTGATTCGAACGTCAGATTACTCGGGTATTATTGAAAGCACGCCATGCATGATTGCGGCGCGCTGTCATGAATATGAATTGGCAAATAGGATTGCACTTCACACGCGAAAATTCATCACGAACGATTTACGGCTGCTCCGCTTCTCTCCCGTCGGCGCGGCGACTGAATTGTGCGCCGATGAAGCCGTGTGTACAACCGCGCGGAGGTTTTTCAACGACTCTTTAAATCCGACGCTCTTTTCGCCGTTGGAGCAGTTTCAATCGCTCGCGTCTTATAACGAATCCGACGTGGTCTCTCCGCTGGTCATAAAATCAATTGTTCTCCGCCGAGAGGAAGAAGTAATTCTCGCGACTTGTCTCTTGTTCTTTGTCTCTTTTTGACAGAGAAGAGTTGCCAAATTATGATCGGTCACCTGAATGGTACCCTGTGAATTGCTTTGTTGTTTATTGTCATACTGCAGATTCGATGCGTTCGTGGGAAAATTGGATAGTTGAAATTTCACATGGTAGAAGGATCAAAAGAGACGCGATTAATGTATATTGTTTTACAACAATAGCAAGACTGGATTTATTTAAGCTTTGTATGATTTATATTATAATATATGCTTTGATAAAGGAATGTGTATGTAGCTAAAAATTTCTCCTGGAGAGATTTTTATAATATCTGAAATTATGAAAGAAACAGTCAGAAACCAGTCATTTAAACTGGTTTGGTAGTTTTAGCGTTAAAGTGTCAGTGTATGTATTACTTTTAATCTAGTAAAATGATTAAAGGGAGAATAAATTTATTTTGAAGTATCCAAAGTATTAATGTATGTATTACTTTTAATCTAATAAAATTATTAAAGGGAGAATAAATTTGTTATTTAGTATCCAAAGTATCAGTGTACGTATTACTTGTAATCTAGTAAAATGATTAAAGGGAGAATAAATTTATTGTTTAGTATCCAAAGTATTAATGTATGTATTACTTTTAATCTAATAAAATTATTAAAGGGAGAATAAATTTGTTATTTAGTATCCAAAGTATCAGTGTACGTATTACTTGTAATCTAGTAAAATGATTAAAGGGAGAATAAATTTATTGTTTAGTATCCAAAGTATTAATGTATGTATTACTTTTAATCTAATAAAATTATTAAAGG